GAGTTGTAGCCTTTTTTCATTAATAAAAAAAAAAGGAAGAAGAAAAAAGCAAAGAACTTTCTCCAAGTTAAAAGTTAATTTCTTTAACTAAATTAAAATTAAGTAAAAAAAAATATGAAAAAAAAATTGTTTCAAATCAGATATATAGATAAGGGTAGAATAATTATTATTTTACTTAGAAGGTTTCCGTAATTTTTAAAAAGACATAAATATCTATTATTTAGTGTTAGTTTGTCCACTTTGTTGAGCAATAACTCGTATCTGTCCTGGTGTAAGTCTTCGTGTGCAATCACCATTTGTACATATGGAGTCAATCATGTGGGTTGGCTTGGACAATATGTTAATAGGGATGGAATTGTTGGATATCTATTTATCATGTGCAGTGAAAATTTAAAATAGATTTTAATTCACACCAGATTCATTTTTGTATTTAGATAGAAATTGTGATAAAAATCATACATTTTTGTAGATCTACAAACCCCTTTACTTTTTTTTTTTTTTTTTTTTGGTTTCAACGATTTTGATTTGCCATCCACAACTGTCTAATTGTCCAGCCTTCAACTTTGATCCACACAGAGAACAAGATTGTGGGATTAGGATTTTTTTTGTATTAGCAAGAATAATGAGAAATCTCTACAAAATTATAAATCATAATCACTTATTTATATAAGTCCAAACAGACTTGACCTGATTCGATCCAATATTTAATTAACCCATTTAATTAAATCTGGTTCGTGAATTTTTAATTAATTTGAGCCTATAAATAAACCACCCAATTAATTAATTTATTCAACGCTTGTTAATTTAATTAATTGATAAATCACAATCTTTCAATTCTTCTTTTGTATACGACCCATCAGGTTCCCAATCACGATACCTAACGATGTGAAATATTATTTTGATCTAATCAAAATTGATAAATTAAAATATCCTTTTAATGTATCACCAATTCACATTCACCGTTCTAGATTAACATCTAGCAATGTGTCAGGGCAATACAAATGATGAGAAATATCACGTGGTATGACAAAATCAAACTCGTTCGTTTACCGTGAAACTATAATTCATTCGTCAATATGATCCGATCAATTACGAGATATGGAAGTGTATCAATTTCAATTATTGATTATATCTTTCACTCCACTATTAAGTTAATATAAGTCGAAATTTTTTTTTCGACTTTTGAGTACACCTTGACCAAGGATTTTGATATCGACTTAATCAAATAAGACGCAGATCATAATCTTTTACTATCTAAGAGTGACGAATCTTCTATTGATTATTCATAACCTTCATATGATTCTTGACATACCCCAACGATGTCGTATTAGCGACAAGGCAGAGCAACATCCAATACTGTCAAAACATGATTGTCCTCATATAAGGCACTATGACGACCTTAAGTCAAATGATCAGTTCCACTACCGAACATTAGAGATTAATCACTGACACTCAGATAGTTATCTATGTGGAATCTCTCGACGGGTCTCCAATGTTTTATTTTACAACAAAATATCCACGTGTTCATTTAAGTGTCACTACACTTTAGCTTATGAGATCAGTTACTTACTTTACAAGTAAGAAATGCCACACGTGATGGTCTATCCGTAATAACGATATCTGTATCTCGTTATTACTTACAATCACAGACGATTTAAGATTCAATCATATGTAATTTATATCTCACAATTAAACAATTCCTTGTGATTAACAAATTATAAAGATTTGAATATACGAACTCTATTATTTAGTTTAATTGAATATTAATTAAATAATAGACATGTCATAAAATTATATTAATTATATATTAAAAATATTTATGTCCAAGATTGATTGGACTTAGAACATAACACTTACATGAATTAGAAGTAAATTACTAAATTATAAGGTGGATTCAAATTTAGAAAAAGCCCATTCATACATTTGCTTTCTTCTGCCCCAACGTTTACATGAACATCTAACTTCATTCAGTAGATTTACCGTATGTTCTCTCTCTCCAACAGATGAAGATGGCAAACCAAGAATTTAATTGAAGGAGGTTTCACAATAAGAATTGAAGTTTCCTCAAATATATGTGTATCTCATCAAATTCACTGCTCCTTTCAAAGAAGGAAAGTAATTCCCCCCCACCCCTCGGTGGGAGATTAATGATATGTCATTATAGATTGTAAGAGCATTTTCAATGCCTCGATGGATTGCACAAGAAAATTCACATAAGCACAATGAACAACGTTTAACAAAATTCATCTTCAATGTAATCAGAGACTTCATCAGGCTAATAAAAAAAAATAATAGTTTGCAAAACACTGTCAATGAAACTGTTTAGCATTAGAAAACAACGACAAGGAAATGATCTTCTTTGCCTCGTGAGCACGACATTGTAGTGGTGACAAAATGTTGGTAGAGGAGGTCGTGATGGTGGTGGTAGTAGTAGTCGCTATCAAGAAAGTATTTAGAAGGTCGGTTTTCCCTGCCAAGAAAAAATCAAAGAACATTTACATCAAAAAATTTCATATGAAAATCAATTAATTTTGTATGGTGGTTGTACGGGCGAGGGTTGTGTTGGCTACGACAAAGGTTCTAGTGGCGGTGGTTTTGCAGATGAGAATATGATAGTTAGCTTTAGGGTTTACACAATTGAAAATAAGTACCAAGAACTTAAGATTAGTGTAAGTAAATCATAAACTAAAATAAGTACTTTAGCCTCGATACAGAAGACTATAAAATAGATAAAATTGAGTAGTAGATAATACTTGTTTGTACATTGAAATGCGTGGTTGAAATAGAAGTTTGATAATTTAAAAATAGTTTATAATTTTGCCAAACAAAACCTTTAATTTTTTAGATGACAATGGGAATTATCCCATAAATAAAAGAGCAAGAGCATCCACCCTCGCACTCGCGCTCATGCACGAAAACATGCACACATATGCATTTTATTGGAAGTACTTAGCTAACGGAATATCTATCAAGTATGAAGATAATCCCAATAATACGCTTCTATTATGCAAAAAATACATGACATAAGGGGAAAAAATGAACTTTACTTCTTTAGAGTAGAAGTTTGATAATGAGTAAGTGCTATAAAATTTTCATGTAATGAAAAGATGATACTCTTACAAAGATATTATACCAATTACCAATATAAAATTTTGGTGTAACAAAGAAAGGCAACATAACCACCTTTAAAAAATGACTGCTACAATTATTCTTCAATTAGTGCTGATTTTTGATGTCAAGAATTTTGACTAAGCACAGCACTAGCAAAATTTGATCAACCTTTCAATGATGGAAATTGATACAAGTAGACAAAAGTTGGTCCCATAACGATGTAATAGTGTGATCATATATACAGTCTCCTCGAATTAATTACTTTTGGAATTATAAAATATGTGAAATATGAAATTATAACAAAGTTAATTTCTTAACAATGAGTGAAAATCTCTGCTACGATGGAATGTATTTGGAGGAGGTGATATAGAACAAATGGCTGAATGAATTGAGAAATAGATGGATCGAAAAAAGGGAAAAATAGTAAATTGCAGATTTTATGATCAAGCTTCGATTTGGACCAATAATAACTTTTCAGAAAGAGAATGACGAGCCGTATTGAACCAACTGTTTTTCTGTGACATATGATGGATTTTAGCCATCAAAATATAGGATTTGAAAATTGCTTTTAAAGTTTAGTGCTATTTTTGTCATTTAATTTATTTTGAATTCTTTTTAATTTTAGTTCCTTTAAATTAGGTTTTTATGTAAACCTTTATAAATAGAGGGCTAATTACTCCTTTCGGGACGAGCTATGCTACAATAACAAATGAGGTTTATAAAGTTAGATCACAAAATCAAATCTACACCAATCATTTTAAAAACGAATTTTTAAATCATTTGAAATTAAGGGTTCAGATTTTGCCAACACACTTTAACACTCCACT